AATGGGCTCAGGAATACTTCCAGAAAGCATTATCAGTGAACACAATCTACCGTGCCATCTGCCGTTGCCAGTTGAAACTCTACAGTGCAAAGAGGAAGCCATTTCTAAGCAAGCTCCACAAGCTCAGACGTTTGACTGGGCCAGGGGTCATTTAAAATGAAGTGTGGCAAAATGGAAGACTGTTCTGTGGTCAGATGAGTCACGATTTTGAAGTTCTTTATGGAACACTGGGACGCCATGTCATCCGGACCAGAGAGGACAAGGATAGTCTTTTTCAGTTTTTTATTTGTTAAAAAAGTTTGACACATCCATTAAATTTCATTCCACTTCATGATTGTGTCCCACTTGTTGATTCTTCACAAAAAAATTACATTTTACATCTTTATGTTTGAAGCCTGAAATGTGGCAAAAGGTTGAAAAGTTCAAGGGGGCCGAATACTTTCGTAAGGCACTGTATGTATATATATATATATACACACACACATCCATCCATTTTCTTCCGCTTATCCGGGGTCAGGTTGTGGGGGTAGCAGCTTAAGTACGGAGGCCCAGACTTCCCTCTCCCCAGCCACTTGGTCCAGCTCCTCCGGGGGAATCCCGAGGCGTTCCCAGGTCAGCCGAGAAACATAGTCCCTCCAGCGTGTCCTGGGTCTTCCTCTGGGTCTCCTCCCGGTGGGACGTGTCCAGAACACCTCACCAGAGAAGTGTCCAGGAGGCATCCTAACCAGATGCCCGAGCCACCTCAACTGGCTCCTCTCGACGTGGAGAAGCAGCGGTTCTACTCCGAGTCCCTCCCGCATGGTCGAGCTTCTCACCCCATCTCTAAGGGAGAGCCCAGACACCCTGCGGAGAACACTCATTTTGGCCGCTTGTATCCGTGATCTCGTTCTTTATGTCACAACCAAAAGCTCATGACCATAGATGAGGGTAGGAACGTAGATCGATCTGTAAATTGAGAGTTTTGCCTTTTGACTCAGCTCTCTCTTCACCACGACAGACCTGTACAGCGCCCGCTTCACTGCCGACGCTGCACCTATCTGCCTATCGATCTCACGCACCATTTTTCCCTCATTCGTGAACAAGACCTCAAGATACTTGAACTCCTCCACATGGGGCACAACCTCCTCCCTGACCCGGAGAGGGCACTCTACCCTTTTCCGTGTCAAGACCATGGCCTCGGATTTGGAGGAACTGATCTTCATCCCGGCTGCGTAGCACTCGGCTGCGAACCGCTCCAGCGAAAGCTGTAGATCACGATCTGATGAAGCCAATAAGACCACATCATCTGCAAAAAGCAGAGAAGCAATCCTAAGGCCACCAAAACGGATCCCCTCAACATATGGTCCGAGGGCCGAAAGTGGCCCTTCGACAATCTTCCATCTGGCCCCAAATATTCTTAGGAACAAATTGAAAACTTTTAAATGTTGATAAAAGCCTAAAGTGTATTGGGAAGACATGTTTTTTACGAAGCATGCTTGATCCAACTCTCTATGCAACCCTTGGGTTGCCTTAAATATCTTGTTTTGGCCCTCTGAAAAAAAAATGGTTATGTATACGTTTGTATGCGACTCGTAGAAACAATTTCTAATCACCAGTCAAGAAATTACTTAAATCTTGTTCATTTTATTTTCTAAGAGTCAGAATCTGAATTGTAAACAATTAAAACTGGAATCGCTTTGAATGAAAAGGTAACTGCAGCTCGAACTGATTTGATTTAATGAACCATGAGGGGAATATGACGAAAACCCATACAAAAGCTGTGTTATTGTTTTAGACACAAATGCTTTTATTACAATTAACATAATAATCATTTTGTTTTTGAGCATGCTCAGAAGTGGTACAACAAGCTATCAAACACAAGCTGTGGTGATTGTTTTCAGTGTAATAAAGAAAATCATTTTCCAAATTCCTAACATAAAGTCGCTACGGGTACTGATAAAGGACTATCATTAAAGTCTCAAACAATCTGCTGCTGCCTCGCTGCCAAACTGAACACAAACCAATTTAAATGTCATCATTTTTCTCACACACATGCCTTCACGTCAGCTTCTGAGCTCTACAACATCTGCTATCACCATGCAGCCAGTCGTCACACCCCGACACAGGAACGAACCTGCAGTGTGTGAATTTATGCAGGTCTGTCTCAACTCTGCAGGGCAGATGGATGGAGATGAAGACCACAGCCAAATGAAAGGTGAAAATCATTCCTAAAACAGCTCGACTGGGTAAACAAACCAAGCCCTGATCTACATTTTAATAGACTTCACAAGCACAGAGTAATGAAACAATCTGATTTACAGCTTAGAACTTAGTAAAGAGACTATTTAAATGCATTATGTACATTTTATTTAAGCTGATTCTATATAAATATGATGAAGTACAAGGATTCAAATGAAGTAATTAAGAGACTGTTTTGGGGTAAGGACCACAGAAAATAGCTAACATTCCTTGGCGATGGCACTATGATGGCACTATGTACGGGTCAATTGAGAGTAAGCCTGAATAGAAAAAAGGGGTGACCCGTCCTAGAAGGTAATATTTCCTCTTGTGACAGCAGAAAACTGCAACAGTTAGCGCCTGAAAGCCTGTGCGGACCTGGGACCATCAGATGATAAATTAAAGTTGTCACCAAAGCCAGCTGGCAGGAAGCAAACCTTTTCCTGCTTGAATAAAAGCATAAGAGAATTTTTTTTCAGCTTCATTGAAAGAGGCAACACTAGTCTTTTTCACCTGTTAAACAATATGGCCACCAAGAAAAAAAAACATCTCTTTATGCTGCTTCTAGCTGTTCATAGTTCCCCAGTTCATCTACATACAGCTCAAACTGATGGGATCATTCATAAATCGTTAAACTAAAAGAGGCCTCGAGTGTAACTCAGTGGCGTTGACATGGAGCACTACACATAAACCGTGTCGTACATTTCCTCATTATAAATCACCTGGCTGTGGCTGGTTGGCCGCACAGACCATCTGTCATTACATTGAAGCCATGATGCTGGCTTAGCCTTTGATGGTATCAAACATCATGGCTCTGTGGATACCTTCCCTGGAGGCTCAGAGGTGTAATGATGTCGGTTGACTTCATAAATCCCTTTGTAAATCACACTGAAACAGAAAGAAGGCATGCCAGGCCTATATAAAAGCCACTTTACTTTAAACCAACTATTGTTGAAGAAGATTTCCGAAACCAGGCAACAGAGGATTTGAACCACTGTCTGGGATCAACAAAATCCACTGCTGTTGTCCATTGAATAAAGAAACAAGAGTACTGCATACAGCACATTATATGCTCGTCAACAAACTACACTGCCTGGCTCCCAAAAAAAGTTGCCACCTGGATTTAACTAAGCAAATAAGTACGAGCCTCTTATTGGATAATTACTGCATTGGGAGTGGTAGTGCAGAGGTTAGAGAAGCTGTGATCGAAAGATCGCCGGTTCAAGCCCCGGTACCGACAACATCAAAAAATGTGGGTGAGGTAGGTGAAGCACCCACACCTGCCCCCCACCCTCATTCGCCCCACTCTGAGCCCTTGAGCAAGGCCCTGAACCCCCACCATCTGCTCCTCCGGGTGTCCTAGATAGCAGCTCGCTGCTCCACACAGAGGCTGTGGTAGTTCGGTGGTCTGTGGTTGCATCAGGAAGAGCATCCGGCGTAAAAATAACTGCCAAGTCTTCGTGCGACTTAGTTCGCTGTGGCGACCCCTAACGAAGGGAGCAGCCGAAAGAAGAAGAAAAAAAACCTGCATGGATGATTGGCTTTCAGCTGGCAACAAGTTATTTAATCCCAACTGGGAAATGAGTTGATTCTCATTTCTTAAACAGCTGTGTAGCCTTAAGAAAACTACTAATCAGTAGGAGTGCACCGACTGCAGTTTTCTGGCCGATCACCGATTTCTAAAAAGTTTGACCTGCCGATTCCAATTTTGGTCGATACCGACTTTGTTTTTATAAGCGACACTGTCAGGTGTTATAAGGTCACAATTTTCCAATATCAGTTTATTGAAAAACATACCCTTGAACAATATCCTGGAAACAATACAAACTTGTTTTAACTGACCATGAGGTTGTGCTCTGAAATATAAATTAAGTTCAGACAATTGTTGTAAAAATAAATAAATAAAACAAAAAAAACAAAAAAACAAACAAACAAAAAAACAGTAAAATCGGTTTCTCATGCAAGTATCGGCCAATTTCAGATTTTCCAAAATTAAGGAAATTGGGGCCGATAAATCGGTGCACCCCTACTAATCAGTGAGGCTAACCAGAAAAAAAAGGCTTCAATTTGCTAGGGAGCGTAAAGATTGGACTCTGGAGCAATGGAACAAGGTCATGCGGTCTGATGAGTCCAGATTTACCCTGTTCCAAAGTGATGGGCGCATCAGGGGGAGACAAGAGAGACAGGTGAAGTGATGCTCCCATCATGCCTAGTACCTACTGTACAAGCCTGTGGGGGCAGTGCTATGATCTGGGGTTGCTGCCGCTCAAGGTGGCTGCATGTTGGAGCAGCTCTGTTACTTTCATTCTGAGATTTTGCTTTTGGAAACTTTAATTCCTCTTTTTCTGGATGTAAATCACATTTTTTTGTATGATTGTTTCCTCTGGTATTAGATGCTGTGCAGCTGGAAGGATTTTTACTTCAACTTTTTTAGGTTTGGACATTTGTTATGATGCGTAACCATGGCAACAAGGTAGTTTTCTATAACCAGGAGCAGCTGATTAACATCTCAAAAGCTCAAATAATATATCTCAACTACAGCCCCAAATCTCAAACGAGTTGAAAGGATGTTCCGTGGACGCATTCTCATCTACCTGCCAGCTGTGCCCGACCACTGAGATCCTGGAACTAGCAGGAAACACGGCTCATGACAGCGGAAGAACAGGATCGTCCCTCGACACAT